TTATGGATTAACAAAAAATCTTCCAATTAATGTACATGTTTTTCAAAATAGATATTTACGAAATAAAGTAGATTAATGAAAAAATACTCCATTTAAACCTTTTTTTTGTGTGTTCAAGAAAATTTTTAACTCTATACGAGAAATAATTTGATGATGAAACAAATGCATTGGTCAGAGTAATAATATATGAAAAGCAAATGTTACCACATACAGTGTTGTTCTAACACATAGGATAATACACATGGTAAATTAAGGTGGCATCAATACCGGTTAACCTCGGAATACTCCTGCTGGAGGGGTGACAAGACACTGACAAAATTGCGTGATATGACTCTAAAAACATTTCTTCACAGAAAAGACACTTATACTGTTTAGAGCTAATCTGGAACTTCTTACGTTTCCTTGATCACTCACACACCTGACCCTCACTGTACATTACCATGAAACACCTGACCCTCACTGTACATTACCATGAAACACCTGACCTTCACTGTACATTACCATGAAACACCTGACCCTCACTGTACATTACCATGAAACACCTGACCCTCACTGTACATTACCATGAAACACCTGACCTTCACTGTACATTACCATGAAACACCTGACCCTCACTGTACATTACCATGAAACACCTGACCCTCACTGTACATTACCATGAAACACCTGACCCTCACTGTACATTACCATGAAACACCTGACCCTCACTGTACATTACCATGAAACACCTGACCTTCACTGTACATTACCATGAAACACCTGACCCTCACTGTACATTACCATGAAACACCTGACCCTCACTGTACATTACCATGAAACACCTGACCCCTCACTGTACATTACCATGAAACACATGACCTTCACTGTACATTACCATGAAACACCTGACCCTCACTGTACATTACCATGAAACACATGACCCTCACTGTACATTACCATGAAACACCTGACCCCTCACTGTACATTACCATGAAACACCTGACCTTCACTGTACATTACCATGAAACACCTGACCTTCACTGTACATTACCATGAAACACCTGACCTTCACTGTACATTACCATGAAACACCTGACCCTCACTGTACATTACTATGAAACACCTGACCCTCACTGTACATTACCATGAAACACCTGACCCCTCACTGTACATTACCATGAAACCTGACCTTCACTGTACATTACCATGAATCACCTGACCCTCACTGTACATTACCATGAAACACCTGACCCTCACTGTACATTACCATGAATCACCTGACCCTCACTGTACATTACCATGAAACACCTGACCCTCACTGTACATTACCATGAAACACCTGACCCTCACTGTACATTACCATGAAACACCTGACCCTCACTGTACATTACCATGAAACACCTGACCCTCACTGTACATTACCATGAAATACCTGACCTTCACTGTACATTACCATGAAACACCTGACCTTCACTGTACATTACCATGAAACACCTGACCTTCACTGTAAAATTACCATGAAACACCTGACCTTCACTGTACATTACCATGAAACAACCTGACCCTCACTGTACATTACCATGAAACACCTGACCCTCACTGTACATTACCATGAATCACCTGACCCTCACTGTACATTACCATGAAACACCTGACCCTCACTGTACATTACCATGAAACACCTGACCCTCACTGTACATTACCATGAAACACCTGACCCTCACTGTACATTACCATGAAACACCTGACCCTCACTGTACATTACCATGAAACACCTGACCCTCACTGTACATTACCATGAAACACCTGACCCTCACTGTACATTACCATGAAACACCTGACCCTCACTGTACATTACCATGAAACACCTGACCCTCACTGTACATTACCATGAAACACCTGACCCTCACTGTACATTACCATGAAACACCTGACCCTCACTGTACATTACCATGAAACACCTGACCCTCACTGTACATTACCATGAAACACATTACCTATTCAGAGAGGTACTCTCAGAATATTATTTTGTAATATATATTAACTTGAGTCACATTCCAAAACACCTTTCCTTGTAATGTATTACCTTAATCACTTCCAGTTTATACACTCTTAAAACACTGTATACGTCACCTTCAGGAAAATTACCTTCAGATGGCATCATTACCGTATATCATACAACAACATAAAACTCCTTCCATTGATAACAGATGATACCTTTGCAAACGTAGACTACTCTGAAATATCTCTCCTTAGTAATGACATTCTTGAAAGCATTACCTTTGCTTGAAGTACACTTCTTGAATCCACTTCCTTTGTATGATACAATCCCTTTGATTACACCATGACACGCTGCTTTTACAAAGCATACATCACAATGTGGAACTTTCTTGTAGCACGTTATCTTCACAACAACCTTTTCTTGATCCCTCTCTCACTTTTCTGTGAACGTTCTCTTGAAACACGTTACCTTAAAATATTACCTTTTATGGAAGGTACTCTAGGGTACTAAATACATCACCCCTAAAATAATTAACACGCATTTCCTTTTAAATTTACATGACCTTTAAACATTACTTTTTACAAAATGTATACTGTCTTGAGAAAGACAGAAAGACAGTTGGCCAAGTGGTTAACGCACTGGCCTGTGAGCTTTAGGACTCGCCTGCCGTGGGTTCAAGTCCCACCTGTTCTGTGATTTATTATGACAAACCTTATGAGGAAGAAACAATGAACTGTAATGCAAATGGAGCAGCACAAAAAAAAAATCTCAAAAAAGATCAAACTAAGAAGCACCTTAAAGATAAGCCTAAAACTTTATAAAAGTTACAGTAATGGAAAGAGAGAAAAACTTGTGCCATTGTGAAGAGGTAATTAATATGATGGAAACAGTGTTAAGATAATCTTATGAGTAAAAATGTCTATGTGGAAGGCATGGAGAGTGCATTTCTCGAAAGACAGCCTTGAGAACACCTGCACTGGATGTGGACCTCCCAGGACCTGCATATTTGATACTATTTCCACTCACGAACCTTTCTTAGATATGAAATTTTCTTGGTATGCTCAGGAACTTTTATCGGTAGTCTTAGACAAGGAAAAATTGTTTTGAATCCAAGGTGCAGAGGTTTAATAGATTTTACTTTAGGAAAAAGGACCGGTAGTCTCATTCAAAGAGGAGAGAGACTCTTGGTAAATACATAGAAAAAGAGTTAATTCGGTATATTACCCTTGAGTAAAGTCAGAGGCGGCTACAGTGAAAAGCTCTGTTCCACAAGGTACAGTACTCGCTCCCTTCCTTTTCCACATTATCATATCTGACATAAACAGAGATGTAAGCCACAGAACTTGTCCTCTTTTGCTGATAATTTCAGAATTTGCATGACAATGTCATTCATCGATTGAGGATAATAACCCAGGATAACCCCAAAAAAAAGCCAAAGAGAGGCATATTGTGTTAAAATATTAACTAATTTTTATGGTTAAACAATATACTGAGAAATATCAAATGATTTGCATCAATAAATTAGTGAACAGGTTGTCACATAATGATAAACATTTTAATGCTTAAAATAAACATGTGACTTAAAATAAATATTTAAAAATTATAATACTCGAGAGAGTGGAGAGAGTGAATATGTCGTAACACTGAAACATTGCTGTCGTGGAAGAGGAAGATGAGGATGAAGGAGGAGGGAGACAAATACGAAGACGCACGCGACCACATCAAAAATTCGTAGCACTCTTGGTAACTGCAAATTTATCTGAGGAAGGGATGGGTGGTAGGTGATGTTAGTGGTTGTGCTGGTAGTGGTAGTTGTCATATTGTTTTTTTTAGAGGTGGTAGTGGTGCATGCACTGTCTTAGTAGTGGAAGTGGTAGTAGTGGTGGTTTTGGCGGTGGTTGTATTGGTGGATGTGATGGAGGGTGAAGGTATTGATAGTGGGTGGTGAAGGTAGTGACAGTGGGTGGTGGAGGTGGTGGTAGTTGTGGCGGTGGTATCGATATTTGAGGTGGCGGTAGTGATAGTTGTTGTTGTGGTGATGGCAGTGGTTGAGATGGGGAGGAGGGGAAGGAGGTGGATGGAATAGGAGGGGGAAGAGAGGAAGAAAGAAAGAGAAGAGGAAGGAAAGAGAAAGAAGGAAGAGAAGAGAAAGGAGGGAGCTGATATGGGAAGGCTGAGGTGGTAATACTGACTGGGGTCAGAGGAAGTGGTTGTAACAGATATGAGTTCCCTCTCGGTTACACCAGGACAAATAGTAGTGCCTACCACCCACTAGTGGTTGGTTGTTGAGGTTTGGTAGTAGCTCCGGGTGGGCCGTGAACCCCAGATTTGCAGTCATACAGGTCCTGGCCGTATAGACCCTTTTACCACTACTATAACTAGCCTTTCTTCCATCAATATAACCTCTTCCAGGTCAGAGGGAAAGATTTCAAATCTATGTATTTTACCCATCCTATGTGATGTAATATGATGCGGAAACACAACTAACTTTCGTTCCCACTATGCAGCTATCATGTAAATTAGGGTATCAGTACACTGATGTTGTATTTAAGTTTTCGAAATAAAAAGAAATCTTACAAAACGAGGTATCCTACAATTGCAGTGAACCCCTCATTGTAATTTTCATATAATATGGCTAAGGTACACTCTGGGTATATTCATAGTGGTAATTTCCACTTAGAATAGAACAGAAACACACTGCAGGTGTATCTACACTGTAATATATAAATAACAAAAATGCAAAATACAGTGACTGGAATACGACACAAATAACCCGCACATAGGCGAAGGGAGCTTTTGACCACGTTTCAGTCCAACTTGGATCATTTACAAATGGTCCAAATCGGACCGAAACGTCGTTGTAAGCTCCCCTCTTCTATGTGCGGGTTATGTGTGTACACTGTAATATATATCTACCATAGTATACTTGCACAATGCGGATGTAGCCTCACTTAAACTCATAGAGAATAGTAATGCCGCTGTCTGTGGATACACATAACTGTTATAGAAAAGTACTTACCATGGGAGGCAGTGACAAGGTCGAGGCCTGAGTGATCGTGTGGGTCGGTGGTGTGGGTGACACTGGAGTCGTGACGGATGTCTACCTTCCCACAGGACTTGTAGCCTGCATCCCCAGGACTACTGGCGCTCTCTCGCAAACTGTAGGGAGGACTGCGGTGTCTCTATCATCACTGCATTTAAATCCAACATTCACTATAATTAGGTCCTATATTGCCTATTATGATAACTATTCTTGGTTCTAATTGTATCGTGATTCTAGTTATATCTTATCTTAGCCATGATTATATACCATAAATTACAAATTTATCGTGAGTATAAATGTTGCTATCAACAAAGAAAATATTTGAGTAATAATAGTAATTAATAAATGTAGATCATTATTCAGTATTCTGATTACAATACAGAGATTTCTTGATTACATTTGTAATTTAACTCAAGGTTTGTTATAATTATATAAAACAATTAACACACAGGCCATCTCCCACCGACGTAGGATGAGCCCAAAAAGAAGAAATCACTTAACCGTAACTCATACAATCACTTTCTAGTCAGAGCGTGGTGACGGTATGGTTCAGATGACCCTCTGAAATCTTATATACTCACCCCTCCTTCAGAGTTCAGGCAGTGTACTTCCAGGAGTCAAATCTGGCAAACCGGTTTACCTGAATCCCTTTATAAATGTTACCTTGCTCACACTCCAACAGCACGACAAATCGTGAAAAAAACACTTGCCTCGTTCATTCTTGGTCTGTTAAGTTCAAAACGGACTTAAACGTAGTCATAAGTTTCATTCTCCTATGTGTGTCTTCCCTCCACACATGTCCTTCCTCCACACCTGTCTTCCCTCCACACATGTCCTTCCTCCACACCTGTCTTCCCTCCACACATGTCCTTCCTCCACACCTGTCTTCCCTCCACACAGTCCTTCTCCACACCTGTCTCCCTCCACACATGTCCTTCCTCCACACCTGTCTTCCCTCCACACATAGTCCTTCCTCCACACCTGTCTTCCCTCCACACATGTCCTTCCTCCACACCTGTCTTCCCCTCCACACATGTTCCTTCCTCCACACCTGTCTTCCCTCCACACATGTCCTCCCTCCACACGTATCCTCCCTCCACCATTATCTTACCTGCACACCTGATCTTCTCCACACCTGCGCCCCCTTCAATACCTGTCCTCCCTCAGTACCTGTTCTTCCTCCACACCTGCCCTCCCTTCCTCCCTCCACATCTGCCTTCTCCCACACTTGGCATCCCATCACACCTGCTCTCCCTCCACACTTGTCCTCCCTCCTCACCTGTCTTCCCTCCACACCTGTTATCTTACCACATGAGTTCACCATCACATCTGTCCTCCCACTACACCTCTTCTCCCTCACATTTGTTTTGCTCATCATCTCATTTCACTCCTGTCCTTCCCACCTGTCCCTGCACTCCATCTCTTTTCTTCCACATCTGTCTTCCCACCTGTCCTTCCTTCCCATCTGTCTCCGTTCCCACCTATCCCCTTATTTCTCCACTTGTCCTCCCTACAACCTGTCCTCCCTTACCACTTGTCCCACTTTCTTACATATGAACATAAGAAAGAAGGAATACTGCAGAAGGTCTACTGGCTCATGCAAGGCAGGTCCAAGTCACCTACCGACTTATCCCATTGATCCAACCTAGTCAGGTCCAGATCACATCCACTTAAGGAAGGAGCACGACATCAAACCTATTAGCACAAGCTAGTCAGGTCCAACTCACACCCACCCACACCCACTCATGTATTTATCTAACCCATTTTTAAAACAACACAAAGTCTTAGCTTCTATAACGGTACTCGGGAGTTTGTTCCACTCATCCACAACTCTATTACCAAACCAGTGCTTTCCTATATCCTTCCTGAATCTGAATTTTTCCAACTTGAAACCATTGCTGCGAGTCCTGTCTTGGCTAGATATTTTTAGGACGCTATTTACATCCCCTTATTTATTTCTGTTTTCCATTTATACACTTCAATCATATCCCCCTAATTCTACGCCTTTCTGGAGAGTGCAGATTCAGGGCCCTCAGTCTATAAATCTGGAGAGAGTTCCGGGGGTCAACGCCCCCGCGGCCCGGTCTGTGACCAGGCCTCGTGGTGGAACGGCCTGATCTATCAGGCTGTTACTTCTGGCTGCAAGCAATCCAACGTACGAGCTACAGCCCGGCTGGTCAGGCACCGACTTTAGGTGTCTGTCCAGTGCCTGCTTGAAGACAGCCAGGGGTCTATTGGTAATCCCCCTTATGTACGCTGGGAGGCAGTTGAACAGTCTTGGGCCCCTGACATTTATTGTGTCTCTTAGCGTGCTAGTGACACCCCTGCTTTTCATTGGGGGGATGTTGCATCGTCTGCCGAATCTTTTGCTTTCGGAGAGAGTGATTTTCGTGTGCAAGTTTGGTACTAGGGAAGATTTCTTATACATGGGATCAACTTTGTCATCTTCCCTTGTACGTTTTCCAGTGCATTTATATCCATTCTGTAATACGGTGACAAGAACTGTGCAGCATAGTCTAAATGAGACCTAACCATAGATATACAAAGTTGAAGAAGAACCCGAGGACTTCTATTATTTATGCTTCTTGATATGAAGCCAAGGATTCTGTTAGCTTTATTGCGAACACTTATTCACTGTTGTCTGGTTTTAGATTACTGCTAACCAGAATTCCTATATCCTTTTTGCAATCAGTAATATTAAGATCTACATTATTTAGTTTATATGTGGCATATGTACTCTAATGTCCATATTAAAATGAATTAGACGGCCTATTTTGGTGTCACCAGCAAACTTGCTTATCTCGCTATTTAGTCTCTCATCTATGTCGTTTATGTAAATTGTGAACAACAAAGGGCCCAACACTGACCCCTGTGGGACACTGCTTGTGACACGTCTCCACTCTGATTTCTCCCCATTTACGCAAACTCTCTGCTGCCTATTTGTCAACCATGCCTCAACCCAGGAAAAAATTTCTCCTTTTCCATGTGCCTTAATTTTCCTCAATAGCCTCTGATGTTGAACTCTACTGGAAAACGGCTAATGTAATGCCTGCATACAAAGCAGGAGACAGGTCCTTACTGAAGTCCATATACACAATATCATATTCATTGCCATGATCTACCTCCTCAAATACTTTAGTGAAATAAATTAGTAAATTCGTAAGGCAGGAACGCCCCTTTGTAAAACCATGTTGAGATTCATTAATCCATTTATACATTTAAAGATGGCTACGAATTGCCATTTTCCAATTGTCTGGCACTACGCCAGTTTGTAGTGATATGTTGAAAAAATTAGCCAAAGGTTTGCTAAGTTCATCTTTACATTCTTTTAAAACCCTCGCAAATAGTTCATCAAGGCCTGGAGACTTGTTAGGTTTTAATTTCTCTATTTGTCTGAGGACCATGAAACTAGTTACCCTAATCGTGCATAGTTTATTTACGTCCTGTTCTACATAATTTATTATTTCTGGAATTTATCTAGTATCTTCCGAAGTAAATACTGAGAGGAAGTCAGTGTTGAAAAGTTTGCACATTTCCTTATCACTGACAGTGATCTGATATGAGTTACTCTTAAGTGGACCAATCTTGTCCCTAATCTTACTTCTGTATACCTGAAAGAACTCTTTGGTTTAGTCTTCAAATCTCTTGTGACTTTAGCCTCATAATCTCTTTTTGCTTTTCTTATTCCCTTTTTTAGTTCTCTCTTTAATTGAATATATTGATTTCTTAACTGCCCATCCCCTCTTTTGACCAATGAGTTATTTTAATCTATTGTTTATCCATTTGGAATCATTTTTGTTAGATCTAATTCCTGTATTCTGGGCAGCTAAAATTATAGTCTGAAAAACGTTATGTTGGCAACCATCACCACCTACCTGACCCATACTCAGGTCATTCCAATTCAACCCACCCAGGTAATTTCTCAGTCCATGAAATCGGCCAAATGGAAATCTGAAGCAGAGTCATGAATGAAGTTATTTGGGTAATTCCGTGATATATTGAAACTAAGTGATTTGTGATCGCTTTCCCAAAGCACATCATTAACCACACGATTATAAATTATAGAAATCATTATAGTTGGCAATGAACCAAAACAATGCCGATTGGAGACCTCTAGTTGTTTCTGCGTCACAAACTGTTTTAAAAAGCAATCCTGAATCGATCAAGAAAAACATTATACCAAAATTTCCTGTCATAATGTTACCAGTCAATCGACAATCTAAAGTTAAAAGCCTCCATTTAACACAACAGTTTCATATCTAGAACCTATATAAAATTTCGTCCCCATAGCAGCTTACTGCACTCCCTGTCAAGGTGGGTCCTATAAATCCACAAACCCAAAATAATTTTTGTCACACCCTCAAATAAACTGTAGCCTACCTGAGACCTGTCCTCTCTCACCACCTCCCAACCTTTCCTCCCTTCCACTTGTCCTGATCCAATTCCCCCTGTCCCTCCTTTCTCGCCTCGTTCTCGCCTCCTCCCTTTCCACTTGTCTCACTCCCTTTCCCCCCTGTCCTCCCTTTGCAATGTTTTTCCACACTAATTCTTCACACCTGTTCCCCTCCCGCCTTAACCTGTTTTCTCGAGTTTCTCTCCACTACTTCTCCCTTTCCACCTTGTCTCTCCTATCCCCCCTGTCGTTCTCATCCCACCTTTCCTTCTCTTCCCACCTGTCAACCCCTTCCCCACCTGTCATCCCCCCCCACACCTGCCTTCCACATATTTCGACCATAACACAATGTCCCACACATCACACTATGTTCTCCCTCCTCTCTCCGCCTTTGCATACCGTCCTTCTTCATCTATCTATCTACCAAACTTTTCCACACATGTTCTCTCTCACACTTCTCCTTAATACACATGCTTGTCCTCTCTTCACACCTTCCCCCTAAACACCTGTAGCTTTCCTTCTCCTTCAACACCCACACACCTTTCCTCCCTAATATTTGTTCTCTTCCTACGTCTGTCCTATTTTCCACACCTGTTCTTTCTTCCCATGAATGTTTCCCCCCTCCCTTCCCACACACCTGTTTCCTCCTTCCACATCTGTTTCCTCCTTCCCACATCAGTACATCATCCCAAACCTGTTTACACTCCAACGCCTGTTCCTCCTCGTCAAACCAGT